CAGCGTCGCATGGCGAAAAGTGCATGCGGAGGGGGAGGGGCGTTCTGCCTAAAAGTCGCAAAAAACATTGATACCCCTAGTATTCTGGGGCCTTTTTTATCTGAGTTTTTCTCTCGTATTTTGCGCTTTTTGGCGTTTCCTCATCTATTTTGGTTTTTAGTTCATTTCAAATTTAAAGCTGTGCAGCACATCTGCTTGCAGATGTGACTTACTTCTATGCGGGTATTGGTTCTTTACTCCATGGGAAGCATTTTGATTTGGAAAAAAAACCCCCTTAAAGTACTTTTACAAAATGCGGGGGAATGGGGGTTTTTTTTCTCCCCCCAAAATGTGGGGGAAACCCCACACAGGAAAAATTAGATAAAGTAATTTTTAAAGACTGGAAATTATATCCTTTCAGTCGTGTGACAAAAAGGTTTACAAGTGATCCCCATTGCTGTTGGTCGGCTGTTTTTCGCCATGGGTTTCCTGTCAGTTTACTTTCCCTTCATTCCTGTTCTATTGCCCTTTCCGGTTTTCCTTAGGTCGCCCACATCTCCTTTCCCGCTTCCCGGGGGTTTTTTTTTCCCAGGGGTAAACAAAGCATTCTGCAAACATGCCAGCCAAATCCATGTTTTATTTTGATAAAATTTCCCCCCAGTGATGCACATTCTTTTTTCCCCCCTCAGTTTTTCTTTTGTCATTTTGTTTGGCCAAAATAAGAGGAGAAAAATCAAGAATTTTCCAAAAGACAGCGCAAAAAAAGTGTAGCCAGTTTTCACTTGAAATAGCACACAGTTAATTTACTTTTTTAAAATTTCTCCCCGTCAAAACCTAAAAATTTGGCTAATGGTTCAGAAATATCCACAGCCCCGGGATGGACGGACGGCATGCTTGTGTGAAAGCCCCGGGTTTGAAAGTGCCCCATGTGTTTCTAATGAAGTCGTGCCGTTGGAGTAACGGTTAGGGTTATAGTTTTAAATTACAGCCCTTTGTTAACCAAGTGGGTAGACGAAAAGTCGAGACATAAATGGACACTGTTTCCCTTTTTGTAGCTGAAAATCTTAGATCAGACAACAAGGGTCTGATAAATGAAGACCATCTCTGCATTTTCTGGATGTTCAAGTTCAGTTTTATACTACAGAATTACAAACAGTCCACAAATGTATGAATTATATTACTGCCCACAAATGTATGAATTATATTACTGCCCACAAATATATGAATTAAGTTACTGCCCACATATGTATGAATTATATTACTGCCCACAAATGTATGAATTATGTTACTGCCCACAAATGTATGAATTATATTACTGCCCACAAATGTATGAATTATATTACTGCCCACAAATGTAGTGAATTTATTTACTGCGCCCCGTTAAATATATGTCATTATCCGACTACCCACAAAATTTAATGAATAGTTGGTTAGGGCTTACTGGCCGCCGACATTATGTATGAATTAATGGTACTGCCGCACAAATGATATGAATTATCTTAGTGCCCACAAATGTGTGAATTATCTTAGTGCCCACAAATATATGAATTATCTTACTCAGAAAATTACCCTAAATTACTCGCCATGTTTCTAACATAATAATAATAGTAATAATAATAATACTATTCTAACATAATTGATCATTTGTCTTCTGTCACAGAAGAATGTTTTGTCATTGCTTATTATCTAGATTACTAGTTCTTCTTCATGTTCACCGGCTGTAAACTCCATCAGAAAATTCTGGTTGTTTGTCCACCTCTGGACTTTAGTCTTGTTTTAGAACCTGAGTGTTGCATGCACATTTGTTTTGCAGATCTGACTTTTCTTTAAATATGCAGACTGTTGGTTAGTCGACTCTTACAACATGCTTGCTGGGAAGGCTCTGAGTCTTTTCTTGTTTCCCCCATAAAGGCATCCCGGAATCCAGACAGGGATTATCCTATAGCATCTGTAGTGAACTCTTTAGGGTCAAATTATTTACTGCTTTTAAGCTAAACGCTTAGTGTAGAAAAAAGTTAAGGTAACAAATGTTTGGGATTGAAAAAGGTAAGAATTCAAATGTCTATAAAATTGATCTGGCAGAAGCAGAAAGATTAACAGATACAAGTTAGAAGTTTATCTTTTACGTGATGCAAAAACCAGCCCAAGCAATGTTTAGCTTTATTAGGCAATTTTATGTTCAGTAGTTTGAATGATGACAACAACAGTCCTGAAATCCCATGCTACAATTGTGGAAGACTTTTCTTAACAATGTGGGGTCTTGTTAGTCAAACTAATCCATCACTATAGGTTGCAAGTCTCATGTCTTTTCATAGCACAATATAACACTATCGTCTGGAACGAAATTTAAAATTGCTTTCAGAACGGTCAGCTCTCAATATCATTGTCAAATTTAAAACAATGCAGTCTGCTGCCAAATCACCCGCAGCTTGAATCAAACCAGGTATCTCAGATATTCCATGATTGGTTTGGTTTACAAAATGGTTGATGCTAATACTAAACAAAAACTAATCAAAAACAAGGGGAAAGCAGCTGAAATATTTAATTAAAATATTTTGGTCACAATAAAAGATACAACACTATTTCAAACAAATTCCATACAAGAGAAAAAAGTTGAAAGCAAGAGAGCTACAAGTTGAAAGAGTGTGCCAGAGATATTTTACAGCCAACCCTCATTGGGGAGATGGCACCTGACCGACTAAGTGAATATTAATTTGGGAACTGAGGTAGCACAGTGGTAAGCACATTTGCCAGCCGACATTAAGGTCTTGGGTATAAATTTGTACTAAGAAAGATTTTGAAATATTGACATGTCCAAGGTCAACATAGCCTAAAGTGGACACCAGCAAATGCCTTGGGAAGTAAAAGCAGCTGGTGTGGTTCTTGAACCATAATTATGGGTCCCAAACAATATATTTTACTAATATATGTTAAAATCCAGCTGATTAATTAAAGTCTTACAAATCTGTATTGCGAACAATAATCTGAACAGAACATTTCTGAAGTCCTTACAGTTTATAATGCACAGCCTGTTCAAATCGCCGAAAAACTAGGATCGGCTCCGAATAACAAAACAAATGCTCCAACAGGGTCTCAGCGATATGTTAATTGCAGACCTGTTTCTTCGACTATGCCGCACTGCTGACAGTATCCCCCGTGAGTTTAACGGCGTTTTGCGCATGCCGAAAAGTGTGAGGACAACAACGACGTTAATATGCGTCGGAGCGCGTGGTCTCTCTGCCATGTCACTATCATCGTCTGTTATGTTGTGTGTCGCGAAATTGTCAATGGTCGCTATTATCGTCTGCTAGTATCGTCCGCAGAGAGTCTTGAAATTGTCAACGGTCACTATTATCGTCTGGTACTATCGTCTGCAGTTTTGCGTCTCTTGAAATTGTCAAGTAAGCCTAGTTTTAGCCGCGATTTGTTCCTTGGCAGAAAGTCTGCATTTTACACATGACTGAGGCCCTGTTAAGCTATTTGCTTGGCCGCCATAATATAATATCGGGTAGAAGTTCGGAGGAGAACCCAAATACCCAAGACACCAACACCACAGTATGTCTTAAAAACTTGCAATATTTTAGCATAATTTCTAGACCTAACCAGACAATTAGCACTAGCATGTTTTTTCAGCATTCGTAATATAAGCCCCACACAATATATAAGTTATAGTTAAGAGAATCAAACAGAAGAAGGGCTGATTTCGTCCACTATAGCATACTTAGCAGACATGTTTAATTATAAAGTAATTAAAAAAAGACACACACACAACTATACTGCTTGTATGTAGTGCTTTCAGAGCGGTGTAGGAAGGGAGATGGTCGTAATGAGTCTGGGCATTTAAGGCTTAGTAAAGTGACGATGAACTGTGCAGGTTTAAATTTTCACATTTATACTACTAGTAGTAGTACTACTCGAAGTTTCTATGTGTTACACCTGTGTCACCTCCGGCCAAAACAAGAGCTCTCCAGTGTGATCAAACACAAACATGCCGCTAGTGAAGTTGACAGCAGTGATCTCCCCTGGTCCTCTGTAAACAGGGCAGCATGGATCTCCTGGCCTCTGAGTCTAGTGAAGATGAGAAAGTTGCCTTTAAAATAAATGATAACTACGCGAAGCATTATGAGAAATGGCGTAAGAAGGAGGAGCGTCAAAAGCGTAAGATTTTCTTTTTGCTATGGTAGGTTAGATACCAATGTTACTGACTGTTGTCAAACAAAACAGAAATTGACAGGCAGACGCTCATTCTCACCATTGTAATTGTATTGTGTTAATGTTACAACTTACGTTCGTTACTACTACAATACTAGCAATTTCAATTGAATAAATGTGATCTTTATCGCACTATTTACAGTTATCCATGAGTGGAAACAAAAATTGTGCCCTGTCTAGTGTCTAAACTCAAACTGTCTCTATAATGAAGGCTTACAACAATATTCTAGGAAACATAGTAAGTATAGACTATACTACGTTTCCTAGAATATTACTGATTACTGTGGATGAGGCCCCAGTCTTTTCTACTATGGTCATTTTCTGGCTATCCTCCGAATAACGGTCAGTAAAGATGGCGGCCGCAAAATATCCTTTCGAGCCACAGTCACGTGATTTAATTTGCGGTTTTCCGGCGACTATCGCAACCGTCAGGTGTCTCGCGCGGCTTGGAATCGGGCTAAACTAGATGGCTAGGACCCACGAGCAGCAGCCACGGTGTGCTCGTGACCGCTAGTGCGACTGGCTCGAAATGATATTTTGCGGCCGCCATCTTTGTCGACCGCTAGTCGGAGGATAGCCCATTTTCTTCTTCTTTTCTTTGCTTTGCCTTCACTGGCTGAACTGTAAAATGTTCTACTTGTTTGTAAACTTTACCTGCATATCGGTAGACCAGATCCTGCTTATTTATATGCTTTTGGTTCCACATCTCTCAAGTAGATGTACTCTGACTTTGAAGGAAAGAGCCTCATTTCATTCCTCACCTCCTACGATTTGCTTGTTATGTGGGTAGTAAGTGTGTGTCACCCCCTCCCCTAGGCCCAGGATCATAGAATGGCAGCGCAGAAATCAGACCGGCTCTCCTTTAAATAACGGTCCCAAATGATCTACACAAAAAGTTAACCCTAACAGAGCCTCATTACGTCCTGCCCTACAAACATTTAAAATCTGTAACTCGGGAAATATAAGGAATGAAAAGTATGAGGAACGTGTAAATTGTGAACTTCTTTTTTCGGCTATTACAGTGCCACCTCCGAGAGTATCTGCCGCTACGCGCGGCGCGGAAGGGACTAAACTAGATGGCTAGGACTCACGAGTAAATACATTGGAGGAAGCTGCGGTAGCTGCTGCTCGTGAGTCCTAGCCATCTAGTTTAGCCCCTTCCGCGGCGCGGGGATACTCTCAGAGGTGGCACTATAGTCGACGAAAAGCGGTCCTAACTTGCATATAACTTGGGCCCTGCCGTTGGATATCGGCAGTATTCTCGCGTGTCGCTAATTATTTTAGTCCGTAGTTAATCCTAGTTTTACCACCGTGTAGTTGCCGTAAAAAAATCTGTTGTGTTTCGCGAAAATGTCGTGCGCAATTAATCCTACTTTTGACACAGTTGAATCGCCACAAAAGAAATGCAAATTTTAGATATGAGTGAGGCTCTTTATGTTTACTTTCTGTGTAGATCATTTGGGACCGTTATTTAAAAGAGAGCCAGTCAGACCCTAGTACTCAAGAAGCTAAAACACATTCGCTAACCTCAAAGCGACATAATTTTCCACTGTTGATATTTAAAGATATATATAGTAATAGTAATAGCTATGCACCTAATAGTTATAATAGAGGATGGTAGAGCATCTTCAGTGGTGAATAAAAGACGGGTAGAAGAGGTTGAGGCTGACCTCTGCTACGAAATACAGATGTATGCTAGTGGGACATGAATGCTAAAGGTATTGAGGTGAACTTGTGGGAACAAAATTCCATGGACCATTTTGTGTGAAGACAGGAGAATGAGGGAAAAAATGACTGCAGAAAGGATAAGAGCTGAGCATCTGAGGGAAAAAAAACTGAATACAAATGTTAACAATGGTCCTGAAATCCAATGCTATAATTGGGGAAGACTTTTTCTAATGGTAGCGGGTCTTCCTAGTCACACTTCCCATGTGCTATGAGTCCCATGTTTGTTTATAGTGCACTATAAAACTATCGTTTAGAAAGATGGAAGGGTGCCAGTCAAGAGTCATAATTTAGTAGCATTTTGTGAGCTAACTTACATGCACATTTTTATAATCAGCATTTTAAGTGGTATCAAAATGTCTTGTGACGTCTGCTTCTTTAAGCTATTTGTAGAAACATGCTCAATTCATTTCAGTGATTGACAGATATGGGGAGGTTGATTCTTCAGACTCCTCATCAGAGGAAGCAGAAATTGTAAGTGATTGTTATTATATTTTAACTTTGAACAAGTTAGATATTGTGATGACCCTTTGGGAGCGAGTGAACAGTGCGGAGGCGCAAATATATCATTACGGTCTAAGGAGAATGGCGCTGCAAGGAGTTACTAGGGAATCTGGCCGACGTTCAACACTCAAGGGACGGATGAGACGTATATACAATCAGATGGTTACTGATACCATCAGAATTGGACGCTCAACACTCAGGTGAAGGATAAGCTAGAATTCTCCACTTTCTGCTGAAGATAGGGACTGAACACTTATAGGAGTGTCCCGAGTGCTGTGATGTCGATTCTTAATTCAACATTTTAACTTTGAGAGCAGTGTTAAATCTTCTTCAGCATTCTAAGCCCTTGAGGTTCATTCCTGCAGATATTACTCACCTGCCTCACGGTATACTTTTTTATGTATGCAGTGTTTGTCTCTCTTACCTGTAATTATCTCTATATGTCCCAACCATTGCAGTTTGTTTGCCCTCTTGGTATTCACCATTCCCTGTCTATACTTCATGAGGGGAGAGAAAGGATTTGCTAACCAGGTTACCACTGTTATTTGGTTGGTGGGAAGGAAGTGCACGTGGAGCTACAGAATAAACAAAATTGATACAACTTCACGAAAATAAGAAAGCTGGAATAACTGCTTATATTTGTTGAGATGTTACTCTTAATTCAAGGATGTTTCTTTTTACATACATTAGTTTATTTCTCTTTAGAAAATAAAAGGCTTCAGATTTCTTTATAACCATCAGGAGTTCCAATATAATCTTATGGTTGAACAGAGTTTCTGGGATTTGTACCTGGGGATTCTCATTCAAAAAAGGTGACACTTTGCGTCACCGGGTGTTAAACGCTCAGTGTGCGGTCCTAGTAGGGTTTAGCTTCACTGCCCTATGATGTCACCTTTACTGTTTTAACAACCATTGACATAATTTTATATTAGTGAGCTTACACACATATAAATGTTCTTTTTTAGCAGTAGCGGTTAAATCTTGTGTAATTATGCTACAGAATTAGCATATCATCACTGTAAAAAGGTTCTACCACCATATAAAGACATGTGCACGAATGATGCAGGTATTGAGGTGGACTGAACAAAATGTGATGCACCGTATTGTGTGGAGTGGGCACATCAGGAAGGAAAAGAGAATGAAGGAAGAAATGAATACAGAAAGGATGAGAGCTGAGTGTCTGAGAAGAAACAGACTTAACACAAATGTTGACAACAACGGTCCTGAAATGCCATGCTATAATTGTGGCAGACTTTTCTTAACGCTGGCAGGTCTTGCTAGTCACACTTGCTATCGCTATGGGCAGTGAATCCCATGCATCCTCATAGTGCTTTATAACACTATCATCTGGAAAGGTGGCAGTCATAATCCATTCATCAAATCAAATGGGTCATCACAATCTGGAAAGAATGATGTAGCAGAGAGTAACTGGGTATCCGGCCGACACTCAAAGGAAAGGCAACACCTACAATCTCACTGCTACTGATACTGTCAGATTTCAAATACTGTGCTTGTTGCTTGAGATATGGATGGAGCATGTATGGGATTGCCCCAAGTAATGGACAAGGTAACAGGTGAAATGGAAGATACTTAAAATCCATACCTGGAGAGAATGATACAGCTGGTAGTGGCTGTGGGCTCTAGGTGCCACTCGGGACTGAATGGGAAGGCAAATCGAGTAGTTAACCAGATAGATGACAACAGGCACCATAAGAATGGGAACTAATATGTGCTTGTCCTGAATGCTGTGATGTTGAATATTTATCCAGATGTATCAGTGAGACTTCAAAACCACGACACTGGGCTGCAACCTGGTATCAGTGAGACTACAAAGCTACAACCTGGTATCAATGAGACGAAAAAAACCATGATACTATGTCACAACCTGGTGCCAGTGAGACCACAGAACCACAACACTGGGCTACAACCTGGTTTCAGAGAGACTACAGTAAAAGGAGAGTAAGATGGATGGTTTAAGCTTTAGTCTCTTTATTGGGGTTTTAATATATGTGAGAAATGTGAAACATGTGTAATGTGCAGGTATGTAAGCATAAGATATTTTTTCCCTTGTTTTCAATTAGCGTTCCACTCCTCAAATGGACAAAGATTGGCTTCGAGCGTATGCTGTTGTCAGATTTCAGCAGCCTCGGCTGTACAAGAAAGGGGAAAAGTTCTTCCATGGTGAGTAATAACACCTGTTAATATCATTGGGTTGTGTAAAATAAAATCTTTTATTGCCTTGTAACGGATCATCTTGATTCAGTCAGTAGGGGTGATGAGAAAGGTGGACTTAGGGGGAGTGACTAAACATCCATCAGCGGTGGAGACAAGAGGAACTAGTAACTTGGTGGGTGATGTGGTCAGCTTCACACCGGTCGCCTTTACTTCCCAGGACTGTACTTGATACCCACTTAAGGCTGGGTCGACCTTGGATCCAAGATCAATTTTGTTGAAAAGTCCAGCCCCTATCAGGACCCAAACTCACGACCTTCTGATTCGCAGTCAAGCACCTAGCCACTAGACCACGGCGGCTCCTGAAGAGGAAGTACTGAACGCTTTGTTTGTATGTGTCGCTATCCCGGGGCTAAGCCGGGAAATTAAATCTAGTGGTCTTAAATTTTGAAGTTGTTATTAGTGGCATTTCTGCTTCTTGATTGCAGATGAAGGCATGTCACTGCAACAGCTTCCATTTCTTTTAACTGTTTTTGGACAGCTGATCTTTTATGGTTTTTTTGCATTTCCCTTTAAATATGTTTGTTGTTGTTTGCTATTATTACTTTTATTGAGTTTGTTCACTCAGATTGAATTACCTCAGTTAAAGAATTAGTTCTCTCTTCATTAACACAGACCTTGCCAACTGGCATGTATAGTCATGTTTCTGTGCATCTTACTACTATGCTGCCTTACATCCATCTCTTACTGTCAGCTTTTGTGATTGAACATTTGCACCAACAGTGAGCTTCACTTATGGTGTAGGACCGTTAGTGTTGGCGCATCTGACAGCTGACTTATGCATTTTTACTATGCATGTGCAAGCTTCAAGATTTTACTGGGGCTGATATGGTTTTCTCTGATTTTAAAATTGGAAAGCGAAGGCCCTTTAATATGATTTCCAGTAGTACAGGAACATAATACAGTTATGGAGCAACATCCGTCTACAGCGTTTATCACATCATATGCTGTCAGTTTTCCTTGCTGTGACAGATAAACAAAAACTGCAGATTTTTCTGTTTGCCCTTCTGTCTTGGGAGACTACAAATCATTTATATATTTTTTTTTTAACCTTGTTCAGATGAGGCTAAACCGGTTGTGAAACATAAGGAGAAAGCTACCACATTAAAAGATCATGAGCGCAAGTTTATCCTGGAGAAAGGAGGGTCAGTATATTTTATCAAGAGTCATTGTAAACATTTTTCATATGTTGTTACTTTGTTTTCCCGAAAATAGACCAGTTCTTATATTAACTTTTGCTTATAAAAATGCACTAGGGCGAAGATTCATTTTTCAAAGTTTTTTTTGGGGGTCTTGTCTTGATATTGTTGAGCAGAGAGAAAACTCTTTATACAGCAGCAGAGTAATGAGGTAATGCCAAAAGACTAAGCATACATTTTTATACAAATGGAAAGTGATTTTCAGGCCCACGTTTTTTCCTTCTGAAATTTTAAACCCAATTGCTTCTGGTTCTCCCCCTCCGTGAATCCTCTGAGTCTAGCCACATGAAAGCTTGTGTCACTGCCGTCACCTCCATCGTCATGCTGCTTTTAGTCTTGGAAAAGGCACCGCTGGCTTCTTGAACTATTCTGCCTGAAGAGCGAGCTGTAAATGCCCATGCACTCTTATGTCCTCGTATAACGAATTTTTTACCCAGCTTATGTCTGACTACTTCCATCAGTGACAAATTGCAGTTCTGATGGCAGCTGTTGGTGTTGGCACATCTAGTGACTGCTTTATGAGTTTGTTGCCTGTGCATGTTTCAGGATTTTGCTGGCACTCATTGTTTGTTCACTAGTTTTCAAAAGAGATAGGGAAGGGCTCTGTGTGATTTTTATTTGCACAAGAAAGGAGCAGTTATAGGATGACTCTTTTGCAGTGAATTTGGCACCTCAAAAATTACTAACTACTGTACATTCATGCTCTGTTATATTTTTGTCGCAATTAGCTTTTTGATAATTTCAGAATTGAGAGTGATGAAGAAGGAAAACCTGACGAACCAAAAGGGAAAAGTTACTTTGAGGAGCAGGAGGAGATAAAGAAAAGGTATTACTTCAATAATTTGTTTTGTTGATCTACTTGTGTTTTGTAAGGCTGACCTTTTTTGTTGTTACAGTCCATGCTGTGTTTCATTTGTAGCTGTTTCTGTTCACAACCTTGTGTCTCTTGCACTTTCAATCAGTTCTGAGTGGCGTGGTGATTTCTGTCACAGGCGTGAGGTAAAGTTAAGTCCAGCGTGATGTGTATAAGGAGTTACTCCATACGTCATTCGAGCGCCAGTCCTGCACTGTTCTGGTTTTACGGAACCTCACGCAAGACTCCTGCAACACGTCCTCGTCGTGCGCCACGAATAATATCTCGAGCATTAACAGAGCTGTCAGGGGATCTCAAAGTTGGTGGCCCCCAGAGGTGTAGTGTCCTTGTGGCTCTCATCAGACCACCCCCAAACGCAAAGGTGAAAAAGCTTTTCAAAACTCATTAGGCACGTGAGTAAAGTGCTTGCCAAACGTACAACTAAAATGACAACCCTCAATTAAAAGTTGGTGGAGTGAAGAGAACATTGTGCTGCTGAGACTCAACCCTTGACCTAGAGATTTACGAGTTACATCTCCTGTGGGTGGCGTCTCGCAGCCAGATTCTACCCATGTACATTCTGTCAACCCTCAGTGTCGTCGCCACCGCGCTGAGGTACACCAAGACAGCAACCATCCATTGGCTGGGTAAGCCCAAATGCCTGTCAAAAATAGATCCTATGGCACACGAGCAAGCTCAAAATCCGACCATCATAAATCGTATTGATTGGGGAAAAGTCCAAATGTCCACATCTCAAGACCCCACTCCCCCGAGTGTTGGGACCAGACAGATAAAGACATGCCCATCGCAGGATTCTCTATTCTGTCGTGCTAACAGCACACTAAAGATGACAATCGTGCGATGAATAAGATTGTACCTATTCGTGTGGTCACAAAGGTCCAGAACCCAAGGGCTGCTCCCTGCTGATCTCCAGGAGGCGCAGCCCGTGTCGGGCGGGAAGCCTAATACGGTTGTGAGGTTAAGCAATTATGTGCAGGACGTGACGAATCCTTGGGTGAGCCCAGAACCAGAGCGTTATGTGTCGGCTCTTCATTTATGGAAGCCTCCTTGGATGGCGGGGAATGCCCATGATCTGCCCCTGCCTTCCTTTGAGGGCTAACCATTCCAAACAGGGCTGCCCCAAAGGGGGTACTCTGGGGACAACACCTGTGGAGAAAGGAACAAAGAGGACACCACACAAATAAGGTAACATCTCAACCACACAAAACAATGGCCACAGACAAATTCAAGTATTTGGGAGCAGTTTTTTCATCCGATTAAAAACTGGACAGAGAAATTAGCTCGAGAGGTACCAAAGCTGATCAAGTAATGGGACAACTATCTCCCCTGTTGACACACAAGCAGATACCCCTGAGTAATTAAGCGAATCTTATAATTATTTTTGGCTAACATTGTGCTGTCCGTGCCAAATGTGGAAACTTACATCCTCTAATGAACGTAACATTCTGACAACAGAGATGAACTGCCTTAGAAGAGCTGCAGGGGTTTCAGGGAAAGAAAGAATACGAAATCATAAAATAATATGAATGCTAGGAATAAAACCAGTCTACAGGTCATCAAAGAACAACAAATGAAGTGGTTTAAAAACCTAATAAAAATCACAGCAAGCCACACTGAAACGTTATGACGGGTATAGAGCAAGCGGAAGATCTCAGAAAATATAGAGTGATGGCATTAAGAACAGCCTTACAGAAATAAACATCAGTCTTAATAGTGCTCTTGACAGAGCTCATCAACGAACGTTACATCTCCCTATGACACTTCACTGAAGTACAAGGTGGAAAATGAAGAAGAAGTCAGCACTCTGTAGGTGATATGGTCAATATCATGCCGGCCACATTTACTTCCAGAGCTTTACCCGGGACCCATTTAAGACTGAGTTGACATGGAAGCCAGGGACATTTTATTTTTTAAGATCTTTGTCAGGACCTGGAGCCATGATCTTTCAATCTACAAGCTATCTGGTACACTAAGGCCGCAGCACCCACTGTTGGTCTTGGGTCTTTGGATAAATTGTATAACCTTGCCAACAGTTCTTGACTGTCTGCATCTATTCCCTCGGTTTTTTTATTTATGTTAACTCCATCATTTAATTGTGGCATCTGTGGCTTAGGCGTTGCAAGTGTCCGACCTAGCAATTCCATTTTACCGCTATCGAAGCCCAATGCTGACTGGATGGATTTTTATCATGGAACGGGGTGTCACAGGTCGACCCAGCCTCAAGTGAGTAGCAGGGTGTGTGTCCTGTGACAAGTAAAAATGGCCTGCGTAATGCTGACCACATTACCCACCTGGTGTCGATTGGTCTGTAAAAATATAGGGGCTCTTCCCATATGCCCTATGCGCCTCAGCGTGGGAAAAGGTATCTTTACTTTTACTTACCATCATTTAATTATTACTTTTCTTTGTATCTGTATAGCTTCAAAGCTGTTTTAGAAGACTCCAGTGATGAGGATAGTGCTGAGGGAGACAGTGGACTGCTGGTGAAGAAACAGAAAACAGCTGAAGAACAGGTATGAGTCACAGAGTATTTAACTATATATAGTTAACAGCAACATATTTGTAGTATATGTATTAGCTGTTCAGTTCATTTCATTGTTCATTTTAGGGATCATCTTCATCGTACGTCAGACATGACCATAAGTGCTCCTATCTCCTCCTGGGTATGTCTAACAACTCCCATTCTCTTCTGGCTGATATAATGACGGATAGTTTTCCTTCTCGCTGCTCCAGTTGGTACACCCAGAGTATGCAGTCTGTTCAAAAATCATTTTCCACGAAACTGAAGCCTCACAGCGTTTATATATGGCCTATTCCTGGTGGTCACGCTGCCAGCCTGAGGCATCTGCTTTCTCATTGTCTTTCACACCAGCATATTCAGTTGTGATCTATTATAATATACAGGCAGTCATACTATTAGTTTTCACTTACGTTCTTTTTTTTAATGATCAGATGGAGTTGTGAGTTAATATTTGATTGTATGGCACTCGGGACATTCCCATAAACATTTGATCCCCCATCTTCAACAGCAAGAGTTCCAGTTCTGATGGTATCAACTAGAAACACTGAATGTTACAACTGTCTTTCCCATCCTCTGAGTGTTGAACATTTGCCACATCCACTGGTCATTCATTACTGCTGCACCTTTCTCCATAGACTGATAATCTGTTTGCGCCTCTGCACTGTTTACTCGCACTCACAGAACCCTTACATCTAAAAGCAGCCAGTCTGTCTGTTCATTTTGGCATAACCTGAAGACAGTATCCAAAGGTCGCTAACTATCCAGGATCTCTAAAGTGATGCTTGCCACTCTGCATGTTGCTGCATACCTATTTCCACCATTCTCAACATGAACAAAAGATAGAAATAATTTCTAGGTAGAACTTGTGCAGTATTTTTAGGACAGACAAGGAAGTTCGTAAAATGATGCATCATAAATTTGCTTTAATGAATTGATGCTGTGTGAATAATAAATTTACATGTTTGGTATTATTTTATGTTTACAGAAAAGGGAGGAAAATGAGTATTTGGAGTGGATTAAAGGAGAGAGAGCGGAATTAGAGGACAAAGAAGCTGCAGCTGAACTAGTAAGTGATTAGAATTATGTATGTTTATGTAACCATTGCTTACATATTAAGTAGCGGAAAGCTACTGACTGTTGCATGTATGCTGCAAACTATACACAACAGACTCTGCAGCCATATGTACAGAAATTCAAGACTGGGGACTCAGAACTCTGCCAATGTGAACAGGCAGCACAGAAAACTGAACATGCTCTCTACCTTCAGTATGGTGGTCACGGGTCTGGCCAGTTAGCAGTCCAGTAGAAAAAAAGCTGTATGGATCAGCGGAGTACGTGTGTTACACCACAATCTTCATAGAGCCTGGTCTTCTCTTCTGAATTCTACTGACTGGTGAGGGAAAATGAAAAAAAGAAGATAGTGGTCAAATATCCTAATGAAATTGTGTGACAGCTGCACATATTTCATGAATCTCCTCCCTCAGAGAGATGCTAGTTGGAGACAAAGTCCTTTTAGTACAAGGATTGAAAGGATAATCTGAGTGGAAGGCTCAGTATTTACAGAAGTGAGGTTAAGCAATCATGTGCAGGACATGGTGATTCTTCTGGTGAGCCCAGTACCAGAGCATCACGTATCACATCTGCCTTAATGGAAGCCTCTTTGGATGGTGGGGAATGCCCATGTTCTGACCCTGCTTACCCTTAAGGTCCAACAAAAATGCACATTATTGTCACAGGTGTGTCCAGTGTAGGACCAAATTGCAAAGATCTTGGACACCAGCCAGGAATTTTAACTTGAACTGAAGTTGCTTGATGAAGTCTGACAAAAGGTGTAAATATTACAGCAGGGTCGTAAACAGACACTGTGCAGTTGTGTCACTCGCCAAGCCAGACTGTCTGCCTTTGCAGTGATTTGCTGCAGGTCTATGAAGATGAAGGAGTTAAGAAAGGCAAAGAAAACATCTGTATCAAGTTATATGGCAGAGATGAGACTGATACATTGAGCACACCCCATAGAGAACTGGACAAAGAATCTTTAAACAGGCTTTGATGTGGCAAATAATTGGAATGTGGAAACAAGGCTGTTCAAGAGATATCTTACAAAGAATGATCTTCTTGTAGTCCAGGCCATGTGGAGATGGTAGTCAAAGTCTATCCGCAGCCTTCTATCTTGTGTACTTTCTGTCAATTCTTACACAGATCATCTTTACGCCATAGTGCCAGAATGTCCAGCATTTTCTCTCTCTCTTTCTGACTCTTTTCCCCACCAGCTTTCCCACCCTCACAATGTACTCCAGTTTTCTTAATCTCGTGATATAACCAAAGAATGTAGATTGTCTCTTTCGGATGTAGGCAATCAGTTCTTATTGTGAATCAGTTTTTTTTATAATGTAGATTGTCTCTTTCGGGTGTAGGCAATCAGTTCTTATTGTGAATCAGTTTTTTTTTAAATGTAGATTGTCTCCTTCTGATGTAGGCAATCAGTTCTTATTGTGAATCAGTTTTTTTTTTAAAGACATCATTCGTCTATAAAACTATGTCTCCAACTTCCAGATAATTTTTCACTAACTGTCCATGATTCACTATCATATATCAGGATAGGATTTATATAGCTTTTTGAGAATTCTCTTTCTGGTCTCAGTCGACAAAGAAGCATTGCATAGAATATTTTTCGTTCTGTACAATGCTGTACTTGCCTGAGCCATTCTATGTTTAACTTTTAAAATACATCTTTCTTTTGCTGTTATCACAGTACCTAAGTACTTAGACATATCATCTTGCTCAAGGACTGCCCCATTTACTTTGAATGCTGCATTTTGGAGGGTACATTTTCTTTGTGATTACTATTACTTCTGTTTTCCTGCTGTCCAAACCAAAACCCTTATCTTGATTTTCTGTTACAATTATGTCCTTCATTTCTTGCAATAATAGATGTTAAAGATGATATTAAAGATTCCATCGATAATTAAGAAAAGTGCACAGGATATACAAGAATGGAGGAATAGCATGCAAACCCAATTTTATGTGGGAACCACTGTGGGTAGCACCTAAATGCTCGCCTACAGATCAGGAGGTCGTGGGCTCAGGTACTGACACAACCAGACTTTTTTTTTTAAAAAAATGACCTTGGCTCCCAGGTTGCCCCAGCCTTAAATGCCCTGGGAAGTAAGAGTGGCTGGCAAGACGTTGCAACATCACCCTTCGAATGCCAGTTGATATATAAAATATAGGTCTAGCACAGTGTATGCCCTATATGCCTAATGACCTGGAAAAGGGTCCTATGATGTGGATGTATAAATGACACTACAGAATGTTTATGATGATTTTAAACAAATCTATATATGTCTATCATGTTTCAGTTGCAAAGATAAAATGCATTTTAGAATGTTTCCTGCAAAAGGATTTATAAATATCCTTTCATCGTTGATGTAATTGTGCGTCTTCTTCAGCTAGTTACATTTTGTCATTCTCTTGTGATATAGGCACCACTGAAGGAGTATTGGAGCAACCCTAATTTGACTGAGAAAGAAAGGGTTCTCAGAGACTACATTCTCAACAATGGTTACATGGACCAAGAAGACAGGTAAAACTGGGCTTTCAGGCTAAAAGTATATCTTCTATCCTAATTCTTTTGTGGATTCCTGGGCCCCATTGGGAGGGGGAAATAGAGGGAGAACAGACCCACTGCCCCCTAACAGTTGAATCAAGAATTGACATCACGGCACTGAGGGCATTCCCGTGCCCTCCCCCCCATCCTTAGCAGCCAGCTCAGAGTTCCAATACTGATGGTACTGGTCACAATCTGGTTATATGTCCATCTTGCCTTTCCTCTGAGTGTAGTCAGTCGGCTAGACCCTCTGGTTACACCCTGGTGCCTCATTCTCTCCTGGCCATAATAATCTTCTTTCTCTACTGATTCTGTTGTTTGTTCCCAAAGGGCCTTGATGTATCAGTTCGCCACCCAGTGGTGCAGATTCAGCCAGTCAATCTGCCTGTTCATTACCCACTATGCTGGCATGGCCTGGAGAATAGATCCAAAGTAAGCTCACTACCTGTGACCTTCCCAGTAAAGCTTGCCACTCTGCTTGAAGCATCCCTGTCTTCACCTTTCTCAGCATGCATTAAAAGTCTGTTACAATTATGACGTGTGTATGCATTTTGTTCTCTAGCCACCAGAGAGCTGCAGTTGCCGCCCCCAAACAGAGCATGTTGTAATGTGTGACTAATTAGGAGTTTGCTGAAATTGGATGTGTTTTACCCTAGCTGTAAACCAAACACAGCTGTCCTTTAAGGGCTCCTGCAAAAGAAGAAAAAGAAATTGATACTTTTGTGCAGTGGGTTTCAGAAGTTTAGACTCCCCGTATGGGTTCCGGGCACCCATTGTGGGGAAAACAAGAATAGACCCATTGCCTCCCCAACAAGCAAGTTATTGGGGACTTCCATCGAAGTCGGAGTACATCTGTCCGAGTGGCAAGGAACAACCAGATGCACATGAATAAGTCAGTAAAACAGATGTGCACGCAAAATCTAGTCACAAAGCCACAGTCCAAATGGACAAACAACTAGGACTTTCCATGGGAACTTACAGCCAGTTAAAAAGAAGTCGATTAATTTAGAAATGAGATAGTTTGAGCAATGAAAGCACAAAGCCAAAGATAGCAACCATTTATTGCCTGGCATGTTTCACTATATCTCTTCAGGTGCATATTACAGTAGCAACTGATTAAAATGTAATACTGCATATGGGGGCAGAACTGAATGCCAACTGTAAGGGATCTTAACTTTACTTTCACGGTTTGCCTCGCACTCTGTAGGTCGTGGGTTTGTTTCACGGCTGCATCGTTCAGTTCACAAGTGCAGTTTTTAGGGAGATCCATGGGGATCATTGTCGGTGCTATGGAGTTCGTGCTCTCAGCAGACAGCTAGCTATTCTGCGGAGAGGGACTGAGCCATATGGGATAAAACCTGGTGCAGTGAAGTCGATCCTCTTTAATAACTATTAGTGACATGGTGAAAGTACTAACAAATCACATAAGGATATTGTTGTTTTCTCCCATGCTAAAGCATAACTTGATGAATGCAAGATAAAAACAAAACAGTTTTGAAAATAGTTCATATGTGCAGATAGCCATCTTTGTCCTTGTCCATATGTTGACAGTGATGAAGAATCCGTAGAGGACACTGACGATGTGGCACCAAGTTTTGATGTCGAGGAAGAGTTTCTTGAAAAGGCTGAAGAATACGAGCATAAATATAATTTTCGGCACGAGGAGCCTGGCGGGGATGAGGTATAAGTGTTCATTTATAATTTGTAGTGGACTAATGTTTCAGTGCTGTTCATGATAACTGTGATGTTTAAATTAGGTTACGCACTGCACGCATTTTCATCCATAAATCATTGGACTGCTCGGGGCCGTAGGGGTGTGACCTAATTCTAAATTTTTTTGGGGACTGCATGGTTGCGGCGTGTTGTTGTTCATTGCGCCATTTGTGAGCAACGCCTTGACCGACGTTGCGTGTCGCTGTTCATTGCGCCGTTCCGTGATATGTCCCTGGGCGGAATAGTTTCGCACACCCCTTTGACCAAGAAGAGTCTAAGAAGCTATGAATGAAAGGTCAACATCACGGTTATCGTGAACAGCACCAGTGTTTTAAATGTAGTATGAACAGCAGTGACTGGTGCGGAAATTCCAAAAGCTAAAAAAACACTGCAGTTTAAAATTTTAGCAAAATTTATTAGCAATTAAAAGATATTTTCTATGTGTTCTACATTTCAGTGAATAAAATAGTGAATGTACTGATTAACAGGTAAAAATATATGTGTATTTGCATTCGTCCTTAAAGGTTTGGCTTCTGATCATTATGGTGAATAGACAGGTTTACTATTTTCAGTCATGGCACTTTATGCTTCTGATAGTCGTTAGCTGTTGCATTTCCCTCCATGTGTAGACTAAAAGTATTTAGTTATGTAGTCCATCTACTGAGTTGAGTGTATGACACAACACTGTGAGCCGCAAATTTCATTTCTAATGATTTTCGACTTTGCCCATTGTGGTTTGTAAACTGCATATTTTTTTTTATGGCGAGTGGCCTATTGGTAGAGAACTTGTGCCTTATGTGATTAACTGCTTGACAGTGAATAGCTTTTCTAGTGTCAGACTGTTTGTGTTGGAACTTCTTATGGCCTTATGCATTTAATGTGTGTTTGCTGTTGTATTTGCTTAAACAGCAGTCTGTGCAAATTTTTTTTCACAAGAGACAGCGTTGCACATTCTATATGGTAGGTAGGTCAGGTATGTAAGTTGTACCCACCAAAACATCTCAAAAGCTGTAAACACCCGGGGACACAAAGTGCCACCATGCGGATGAGGATCACCCGTGGAGAGGTCCCGTAAAACCCATTCAGCAGTTAGGCCATATTTGAGGCCCGGCTATATTTAGGGCCCCAGGCAGTAGCAAGGGTGGGCTTCAAAATAACTAAAAATTGCATCTTACTTGGGGACAACTATAACAGGCTATTCTGTATGGTTGTCATTGGCACAGGAAGGGAGCAAGTGTGGGGTGACCCATTTGCTTTGGAAATGTTGGAACCATGGTTGACCTTAAAAGTGGTAGGCTGCAATATTTGCATCTTTCTGGCCAAAACATTGGATTTCAGCAAACCCATTAATTGCTTGCTTTTTAAAAAATTGTTTAATGACAGGCTTATTGGGCATGTCAGGCCCAAAGTAGGACAGCATAGAAAGAATAGGATGTTTTTTTCTGTATCTTTTCTCCCTCTTTTTTTCCTGGTTATTTCCCATTCATACATGTATAACAATGTTTTAATTCATTGTTTTTTTTAAATTTTGTAAAAATAGATAAAGAGTTATCCTCGGGTTATTGAGACATCTGTGAGAACCAAGGACACAAGGCGAGCTGACAAGCGTAAGAGGAAACTCGAAAAGAAGAAAATGGTATTTACCTTTTCGTCATGTATGTTGTGGTTATTTTTATTTGTTTAAAAAAGGAAACAGTACAGAATGCCATTTACTGCCATGATAAAAAAAAGTATAATGGAGATACCGTGAATGAATCTTACCCCTTGCGTCCTGCATATGATTAAACAGTGGGTCGGTCATGAACCCGTGGGAATTGACAGAAAATATATTAAACAACTATTATTTATATCACAACCATTTTTTTTGGGGTTATTTCACGAGAGTGAGAACACTGGAGTACATTGTGATAGTGGGAGAGCTGGAGGGGAAAAGAGGCAGAGGCAGAGAGAGAGAAGATGCTCGACAGTGTGACATCACGGTGTGGAAGGTGACCTGTGTAAGTCACTAATAAATTTGTTAAAATATATTTATATGCATTTTCAAAATATATAAACATATCTGTATGTATGTATATATACATACATACATACATAGGGGTAGTCAATACACAGAGTGAAGTAATCAATGGAGGACATTTCGAGGGATCTAAAAAACATGTGTCTTATGACCCATGATTGAATAAACAAATTTGTGACCTTTTTTATATTTAAAACAATCTCAGCGGAACATCTATATGAGACGTGTTTAAATAATGTTTCTGTTTTTCCTGATCCTTGCGCACATAGGGTGCCAGGCTGTTCTAGCGGGTATGGGTGCCCTAATTATAGGTTTAAAAGACTTAAGCAACAGATAAACAAAATGGCACAAGGGTAGTAACCCATAAGTGCACCTTCTACTTTTAACTCAAGCCTGCACCTTCTACTTTTAACTCAAGCCTGAGTCCAAAGGATCTCAACGCAGTGCATGAACTCTGTAGCACTGGCGAGGATTACAAAAATTACTTGGGTAAATTTTAAACTCAAAATTTTGCCCGGGCATCGCCGTTTGGCTACTCTTTTTCAATTTCCAACTGCCAAAAGATTTTTTTACATGCGCAGCAATACACACGGGTGTCCGATCTTACTACCCAGAGAGCAGGGGAAATTACTAAAGTCCACGTAAAAAAATCCTAGCATCCACTGGGACTTCTAGCACTTGAGGCGGACGTCATGCCCCGGGCACCCCCCCCCCCTTTCTTTCCAGGAGCCTGAATTATAATTTATTTTGAGGGGATCTGGGGTCTGGCTTGTTGGTGTGCAGTCCATTTTGAGATTCTTTAATCTCAGGGTGGTATGGTAAACCGTTAGAGGGGACAAAATAACCGATTGATTGTTATTTGTATTTGCTATTTATTCTAAATGGGTGGTTTGATTTTGAAGGCTTGTGTAAACAAATAAATGACACGTCACCAAGTTATTCAGCTAACTAATCTGCCAGCTTGTAGAAAAAAGCTCCAGATTTTCAAAATAACTATATGGCTTTGCTCTGAATTTGTGAAGTAAGCTGTTAACCCAAGCTAGTTTATCTGTGACTAAGTAGAGTGTGTTTTTCATTTCCCCCAGCTACCTGATGTAATTGATTTGCCATTAAAATATAGGTTTTTTTTTTTAAACATGCTTTTGTCAATTCTTTTAGTAATTTCTGTGTGTGAATTTCTTCAAAGGACAGAGAGCAGAGGAAGGAGGAGATCAAGTTGCTGCAGAAACTACAGAGAGAGGAGAAGCAGGAGAAGCTGGAAGCCCTGAGAAAGATTGCCAACAATCCTGATCTGGAGTATGATTTAGAGGCTGACTTTGACCCTGATGAGCATAATAAAATCATGCAGGTGAGATGCCTGTGTTTTACGTTAATTAGCTCTGTTAATATTAACTACTGTATGTTAATGCTCAGTGTCGGCTCCAGGGCCCCTTGTTGGGAGGGGGGGAATGGACCCCCTAACAAGCATATCATAATAGCCGACTAATTAGGGGTTTTCTTCGTAGCTGGAGTGCATCTGCCCTAGAGCTGAGGCACCAGCAGTGACGTACAAATAAGCCACATTTGTAAAATGGGTGTGCATGCTAAACTCAGTTCTAGAACAAGACCAGAGTCCACAAATCAAATGGACAAACAACCAGAACAGTCTGCTAGACTTTATAACCCATGAGTGCTGATGAGAATATCCTAATGTTCGGGAGCTGTTCACTTATTTGATGCTTGCAAGCCAACCCAAAGTTCTTGAGTTCAAATCCAGAACAAGGCATAATTTTTTTTAATAACTTTGGCTGCTAGGTCATCATCATCATCAGGTGCCTTGCTGACTGTCTTGGGCAATCATGCCTATCCACAGGCATGATTTTCTAGGGATGATACTGCAGTGGTTTTCCCTTGACTTCCGCTGGTTTGTATATAATTTGACTTCAGTAGCCTTTGTCTAAAGAGACTTACCCTGCAAGGCAGCAGATGGGAGAGGTTATGGCACCTCTTACCCACCAATGGCCATGTTGTAGAGTTTTGAGGTATTTTATAGAGTTAGCTGTCCCACCAACTAACTCACCTTCTCTCAATGACTATCATCTGATATTCATATATATTCATGGCTAACCTCTATATCTAGAGGCCTTTCCACCATCCGCTACCTGGTGGATGCGCCTAGTAGTAGGACAGGCTCTCCCCCAGAGCTACAAGGTCAACCAAGCCTAAAATAGATACTTCTTCTTCCCTTTCGCCAGCTGTAAACCCTGGCGGAAAGTTCTGGTTGTTTGTCCACTTCTGGATTTTAGTCTTTTTTCAGAACTAGAGTTGTGGTGCCTGGACATCAGTTTTACAGATCTGACTTATTTGAATGCATACTGTTGATTTCTTGACTGTCAGACAAATGTATTCCTACTTTGAAGGAAACCCCTAATTAGTCTACTCAATATGTTTGTTAGAGAAGCAGTGGATCTATTTCTCTCCACAATAGGTCGCAGGTCGACCCAGCCTCAAATAGGTACCAGGATGGGCTGTCCTGGGAAAGTAAAGACGGCCGGCGTAATGCTGACCACATTACCCACCGGGTGCCGATTGGTCTGTAAAAATATGGGTGCTCTTCCCATATCCCTGATGCGCCTAACTGCGTGTAAAGGGATCTTTACTTTACTTTTTTACTTTTCAGTCGTGAAGGGCAAAAAAAAAATGATTTACTGACCATGGCATCCACTGCACACAGAGATTAATACAAGAGAATGGCAAATAATACAGATACATTCTCATATATTTTGGACTGGTTTGTTAGTTGATAGATTTTGCTCATTGGACATTGATCCATTCAGTGCATAAGTGCTCTATCCCGTCCTTATTAGATTCCGCAGCATGTAGCGTCTCACGGCACCGATTCTGTGTTGGTTTCTAATTCTTCTTTGGCTTCCTGCATAGTGCTCTTGTCTGGCCATACCCCTTAAAATATGTTGTTCTTGCAGTCTGGTCATGGTTGCAAATTGACAGTCATCACTTGGTTCTTGCTTATGTCTTTCTTCTTTCAGAATATCAACAGGGTTCATGGCTTGTCCGCCCTCTACAGTAGCTTCGCCTGCAAGCCCACCAACTTGCTCATTTCCCTTGCATGCCCTGGCACAAACATGAAACTAATATGTGTCAGCCCCGACTGCTTTAGTGACTCCAACCACTGTCTTCGAACCCAGCCCTTTTCTATCCTCCTGAGCATACCCATTGTCACTGAGAAAGCATGTATGGGAAACGGCCTGTGTCTCCAGTCATGTTATTGCTTTGGGAACACTAAATGGAGCAAAGGATAACACTAACCTCCCATACATGTCATAAAAGGCATCTCTTAAGGGGATTGACATGAGGCCTGGCTCATCATCATCATCATTTAGCAAGTCCATTACAGAATGTCGCTCTCATCACAGTGTGCCCGAAAGAAACTCCATGTCTCGCCAGATCTCCGCTCTTGTGCGCTTTCCTACACAGGGTGTCACTCATATCCTGTGCCCATCTTTATGCTGGTCTGCCCCTGCCCTTGTTTCCTGGTACTGTACCATCTGCTAATGTTTTTGTCCAGTTTGCTGTAGTCTTGACATGGCCAAAGTGTTTTAGTCTCTGAGACAAGATGCCAATCTTCCTTGATGTTCACATAATTTAGGATGTGCTATTTCTTTTCTTCCTCACCCATGGTACTCTAAGAATCTCATTCCAGCTCAGTAACCCTTTGTTTCTTCCTTGATGACTGCGAGATAGTCAGTAACTGATGTCTGTATGTTACTATAGGGAAGATGCATGCTCTCAACATTTTGACTTTGGTTGTCTTGCTGGTGCTCAACAGTAGACTTTTAATGCTGCTTAGCATTGCTATGGCCATCCTCCTTTTGACTACCATTGAGACCTGGCTACCCCACACAAACAATAACAACAACAGAAACTGCAAGTCTTTTAAATCATGATTAAATCTAGAGAGAAACGGTTTGAGTAGATTGCGTTGTTTTTTCCCTCACTGGGGTAGTGGTGTAGGAGTTTTGAACCTATTTTCATAATTCCGACATGCCTGGTTAAATTCAGCAGCAGGTGATTTGGTAGCGGACCGCATTGCATCAGTTTTGACGATCAGGAATAAGTCTAGAAAGAAATAGTTTGAGTTAATAGAGTTTTTTTTTTTTTTGGTTCATGGGGTAGACATGCCCAGTTCGATTTAGCTGCATTCGATTTGGCAGCAGACCATGTTGCATCAGTAGTGATGATGGCATGAGAGCAGCTGCTCAGAAAGGCAAAAGAACAAAAAAAAAAGAAGAAGAATCCAAATGGTGGTGTCCATGTTACGAAATACTACAGATATTGTCTAGGGCCAAATTTTTGTTTTCATAAATGACCTTGGCTCTCAGATCGACCTAGCCTTGAGTGGGTACCAGGTACAGTCCTGGAAAGTAAAGGCGGCTGGCATGATGCTAACCTCACTCACCAAGTGCCGTTTGTCTATATATATATATATATATATATATATATATATATATATATATATATATATATATACACACATCAAATACACCTGAAAGGCATGGGAAAGGGTACTTTACTTTACTTACTTACAAATATTATCTGTCTGTGAAACAGAAGTTCTTCAATGAGAACTACTATGGAGACGATGAGGGTGCTGATGAAAAGCCTACATTTGAATATGATCCTGCCGTTGATGATGAACCAGGTAAAGTGTTTGGTAGTTTTTTCTTCTTCTTTTTTCATTCAGTTAGTTCACATCTGGCTAAGTTATTAGAATGCCTGGCTCTAATTTGGGAGACCGGGGTTAGAATCCTCAGTAAGGTGATAGGGATTACTTGTTGAGGCAAAAAGTACAATCTCCACCTGTAGAGAATTTTCTACAGGGAATTCATAGGAGCTGTAGAAATTTAAGATTTTCTGTAAGTTAGTTATTTAGTTGGGTTACCATGATTGCCCTTCAGGCATGTCCATATGTGCTCAGATCATCCCCTCAGTATGAGCTGCAGCGTCCAGTTTCTAATAGTACCAGTTTTGTGTTGATTTTTTTTCTTTAAAGTATCCAGAAACCATGAGTTTTAAATCCTTTGGCTCGGTACTATGGATATCGCACCCCTTCCACCTTGTTTCCATGATAGATACTGTAATCTGGAAGGAATCTGGCTTTTATGCCTACCCCTGAACCCAGACCACGAGTTCAACACACGGTCACCGCACAGTCTGGTTTAGCCAACTGCACTAGTGAGTCGAGGGGTTCTTTGTTGATTGACAAGTCCTCTGGTGTACGTCTCGTTTTTTGCTCTGCCGATTTTAACTCCAGTTTTTTGCTATGCCAATTTGAACTCCCAGGTCTATCATTCGGGTGAGTGATGTGGATTAACTGCACCAAAAAGTCCACCACCCTCCCATTTCTTGAAAGGCATTAATGATATCAGAATGATCCACTGGTTGATCCAGCCAGCCTATCAACTCTTTAATTCCTACCAATGTCCGCATATCCCAGATCAAACATAAAGATGACTGCACTCACAGTCGACTTCTGTAATGACTCAATCAACTGATTCACCCCAAACCTGCCTGAACCCTCCGGATCATACTCATTGAATCACTGAGTACACACCGGCGCGTGTATTTTTGTGTTTTGAGCCATGTGAACACTTGCGCTACGTGGTTTTATAGACAGATTCTGAGAATTCCTTGAGCAGTTAAAATGGGTAATAAAGATGTCTTTGAAGAATTCTCAAAAGAAACCTAACTCTTGGAGAAAACTGATTGCCCACATTAAAAGGAGACAATCTACATTCTTTGGCCTCATCATGAGGAGAAAATTGGAGGACATCATGACGGTGGGAAAGGACTAGAGGAAGACCAAGAGAGAAGATGCTGAACAGTTTGATAGAATGGCATGGAGATCAGTCTTTGTCAGAGTTGATTGAAAGTACACAGGACAGAAGGTTGTGGGTAGACATGACTGCCAACGTCACCCGGTGGGGACTGTAAGAAGAAGAAACTCACAGTTGTCATGGTGTCTGCAGTAAATATTCTTCATTGCGCTCACCAACTGTAAACTCCGGGGGAAAGTTCTGGTTGTTCGTCCACTTCTGGACTGCAGTCTTGTTTCAGAACCTGAGTGTTGCGTGTACATCTGTTTGACAGATCTGACTCATTTGTGTGCAGAATGTTGGTTCCTTGCCTCTCAGGCAGATGTACTCCCACTTCGAAGGAAACTCCCAGTTAGTCGACTCTTATGACATGCTTTTGGGTAGGCAGTGGGTCTATTCTTGTTTTCCCTATACTGGGGTCCTGCAACCCACATAGGGATCTGTAGTAAATGTTTCTTAACTTTTTCACCCCTGAGAATCCGGGGGGGGGGGAACAACTTCTGTCTGGGTCCCCGGAAATGTAACTTTCTCGACTTGCATCTAGAGATGCATAAACAATGCTATTGGTATACTTTATGTGTACGCAAGTGTTTAGGAGGTCAGGATATAAATACATTAACAATGAATAGTTTGAGGAATGGTTGCTTTGAGCTAAATGGCTTTATTAAAGTCGAGTGAGCATCATTTTTCCCCAAGCCTCATTTATTAAGGTCTCCACATGAGTTGTCTGATATCTGAGTTTTTTTTTTCCAAAGACCCAGGGTGTGTAATCCATTTAATATTTCACACTGTTAGCTCCTTTGATATATCTTTAAATATTTTTTGGGGGAAAATCTGAAATGTTGATATTTATTAGTGAATTTATTAGTGGCCTGTGTTAAATATGTTCTGTGGATGTGGGTATGTTTGTAAGAGGGTCATTACTTTTTTTTTTTTTTATTCCATGGGTGAAAAGGTTAACACTAGAATCATTGTTGTAGCTTTTATTTTTGTCCATGCCCTTTCTGTGTCTTCTAGCTTCTCCTTGTCTGTGCTATATGTACGTTTTTACAATCAGCGCTGGGAGATCGGTAGTGTAGTAGCTAGACCTTGCCCGGCAGTCAGAAGACCTGGAGTTCAAATCCTCATCGAGACGTTTTGTCTTCAGATAATGGCAGGTTTATTGGCTCATAAACAGCATCCTGTTCTAAACGTTGATGTCTTTTGGTCATGTTAAATGTCACGGTGACCTAAAGAGATTGGCGCTTGAGGGTACTGTTTCCAGGAGACAAGGCAGATGTTGAACTCAAGTCATTAAAGGTGCATCGACTGTGAAAGCACATAGGGCTGAGTAATAGGCTAGAGAAAGAGAGACTTTCAGGCATGCTATGAAGAGAGCTACATTCTGTAAAAGACATACTAATTGATGAGGATGAAAACTCTCGTTAGTTATTAATTTTTCAAGAGCTTATGCAGTCTGTCTTTTTATCTCTCTACAATTTCTTGCATGCGATTATACAAACCTGCATGCCTCATTCACACACTGTATTGTTCCTCTCTAGACGATTGGTGGCAGGACCGTCTCGATGAGGAAGGTAATGATGTTGTAGATGATGCTGTACTTGACTCTAGTCCTAAGGACAAGAAAAAGAATTTGAAATCTATGGTCGAAGATTCAGGAGGAGATCCTGAAGATGTGCCGTACGCTGACGACCCTAACTTCATTGTAAGTATTTGGGGTAACCACCCAATACACAAAGATAATCAGTTTTTTTGAAGGTTAGACACCCAGGTTTATAATTCTGACATACCAAGTTTGATTTGGCAACAGGCAGCTGTGCGTGAACTTTGACAAAAGTATGAGAGTGAACCATTCAGAAAGCTAATTGTAAACTTTTGAACATCAGATTGCCTAGTAGAACCGCAAACCAATGCTGAGGTTTGTGGCATTTTGTAAAAGCTTTGCAGCTCAGTGACACTGAAGTCTTGGGCTCCAGCACCAGTAGACACAGTAATCTTCAAGCTGTTGACAGGGCTTGTAGCAGAACTTGAAACCTGGAAAAACTTAGGAATGTCCAGGCATTGGGAAAACTCCGGATTGTTATGAGAACTGACCACAATCCTTGGACTTTACCCACAGTAACCTGGAAAGGATACAAGAGAATGTTGGCAGTCAGGCTTTGGGGGGGGGGGTGGGGGGGGGGGGTAATTTTTGTGGTTACACCTGATTGCATTCTGAATTGGGATGTGGACTGTGCCGAGGCAGTGGGTCTCTTCCTGGCCCCAGAATCCACACAGGGAAATAAGTTTCTATTGGGTGGTTCACTGTGTGTCATCCATCTGTTCACTAATTTTTCCTGTGTCTGTAGTTGTGTTGAGTAGAGAGATGTAATGTGAAAAGGGTGTGGGAAGAGAAGTGCCAGGATTTATCCATTTACAGTTGATATTGCCAGCCAAACCAAGAATACAGAAGAAGACATCTGTCTGCCCCAAAGAAGGCTTTTGGTTGATTATGATGTAATTCTGGCCTTTGATGTTTGAACAACCGATCAACATCATGGCACACGGGTGGTAACCCATAAGTGCTTTGTTCTTCTTCTCACTCAAGTCTTAAGTCCGAAGAAGCCCAGCACAGTGCACCGGCTCTTTAGCTCCGGCAAGGATCCTAAAATACTTTGGATAGATTTTAAACTCCAGATTTTGCCCAGGCAGCACCGTTAGGCTACTATTTTCGATTTCAAACTGCCAATGGATTTTTTTTTACATGCGCAGCAATGCACAGGGGCGTCCGATCTCACTACCCAGAGACCAGGGGGAATTACTAGAAATCCAAGTCCACATGAAAAGATCCCAGCCCTTGCTGGGGATTGAACCCAGGACCTCTATCACTCGAGGCGGACACCATGCCTCAAGACCATGCAGCCCCCACTTTTGACCCTGTGTCTGTGTTCAAACTATAATGATGTTTGAAATTTAATTGAACTGTTTTAAAGATTTATATTTTTATTGTGCATCTCACAGTTAAAGCAGAATATATCTATTTCAGATGGATGCTGACTATGACCCTACCAAAGACTACAGAGCTGAGAAAAAGAAAAATAAGAAATCTAACAAGAAAGTGACCCAGAAACTGCCATTGTTTGACCCAAGTAAGTGTTTCTTATTAAATTGTTTTATAATTTGATTTATGAAATACCCTTTTTTCCATAATTTTCTTTTTCTTATTCTTCTTTGTGTTTGCTGGCAGTAAGCTCCGGCTGAAAAGTTCTGGTTGTTCGTCCACCTCTGGACTCTAGTCCTGTTCCAGAATCTGAGTGTTACGTGTACATCCGTTTCACAGGTTTTAGTTTTTTGCATGAAGACCGTTGGTTCCTTGATTCTCAGGCAGATGTACTCCAACTTTGAAGGAACCTCCCAATTAGTCGACTCTGACGATGCTTTTGGGCAGGCAGTGGGTCTATTCTTGTTTTCCCACACAATGGGGGCCTTGGAACCCACCCAGGGATAATATTCAGTGCTGAATGGGGCAAGTTGTTTAGTTTTTTGCCTTGTAGCTAATGGTTTTATTTTCAGAATGTCTTCTACTTCACAAAAGCTATTGTTCAGAGGATGAGTGCTAGAGGCTAGACCTATATTTTATAGACAAGTATTGCACTTGGTGGGTGATATAAGCATCATATCAGCTGCATTTACTTCCTATGACTGTAACTGGTACCCACTCAAGGCTGGGTCCACCTTGGAGCCAAAGTCATTTTCGAAAAAAGTCTGGCTCAGTCAGGGCCTGAACCAGTGACCTTCCTACTTAGAGCACAAGATTGATTTTTTTTTTTTTTAAATTTCTAAGCCATTCCTGTATTTTCATTTACAAGTAATAATTTATTTGCTTGTGAATATTTGAGTCTTGTCATAACATTCATGGTCTTTTCCACAGCAACAAAGACATTTGATGAGTACATTGATGAATACCTGAAAGACAAAATTGACAAGCTGCCGTTCACTTACAGAGAAGTAGTGCCAAATGACTTTGGTCTCAGCACAGATGAGGTATGTTGCTAGGCAGGTACAGTAATTTACTGCATAAGTCAAGTTTGCAAGCCATAAATAATCTTTCCAAGCCTACCTATATCATCATGTGCCCTGCCATTGACGTCTCCACAGATCACGACCCCTGGTTGCCTGGAACAGCTCTCTTAATGATATCCCTCCATGCCATTATTTCATCCCATCCAGCATCATCTCTTTTGGTCTGCTCTGTCCTTCTTTCCACTGATCTTTCTAGTTGTCACGATGTTTTCCAATGCCTCTCTTCTCAGTACGTGGCCAAGCCTATATGGTGTGTGTAAAGTAGGTAAGTAGGTGCCTATCTCATCTTTTTGTGTGTAAAATCTCTTATTCAACATACTCTGGAGATCAGCTTGTATGTGGCTTTGCCACAGTTGACATGTGCTATTTTGTAACCTAACGATGACTTAAATTACTGAGTATAAGTCAGGTTTACATGCATAAGCAATATTTCTAAACTATAAGTCAGCTAAGTGAAGTATCTCCTGTTGTGTTTCATTTGTTGGTGGCAAATAATATTACAGTAAATTTAAAAATCTACATAATTACAAATATAGTGATGTATCTCTTGTTGAATTTCCGGGGCCCCATTGTGGGGAAAACAAGAATAGACCCCACTGCCTTTTCAAAAGCATGTCCGTAGAGTTTTAGAGTACTTCCTTTGAAGTCGGAGTGCATCTGCCGGAAGATAGGAACCAACTGTTCTGTATCAAGAGAATGAGATCTGTAAAAACCGATGCACACGCAACACTCAGGTTCTGCAAGTAAGACTTGCATTTCAGTAGTGAGGCGAGCAGCCAGAGTTGTCAGCTGGTGAACGCAAAAAAAGATAGATATGTAAAATAATGTTTTTTTTAGAAAACTCATTTCTGGAGAAAAATAAGAATAGACCCACTGCCTCCCTATCAGGTATGTCGTAAAAGCCGACTAATTAGGGATGTTTATTTCTGAGTGTGAGAAGATTTGCCTGAGGCACCGGGCACTAGCTGTCTGCATACAAAAAAGCCAGACTGTGAAATAAATTTGCATGCAAAACTCAATTTCTGGAACAGGAAATGTACAAACAACCAGAACTTTTTGCCGGAGTTTACTGATGGTCAACACTTCTTCTTCTCCAGCATTCGGAACCCTTTAGGTTCATTGCTGCAAATATCACCCACCTCCATTCACCTCTCTGGTTGGCGTTCTCTTTCCAGTTGGTGACACCAAGTGTTTACAGGTCTGTCTGGACATTATCTCTCCATCTTCTTCTTCTTGGTCTGCCTCATGGTCTACAACCATTCATCTCCCTTGTATATACAGTTTTTTACTTCTGTCATCTGACATCCTCTAAATATGCCCCAACCATTTCAGTCTCTTAGCTCTCATGATGCCAGTGATCAGTGGTGAATTAAACAGATTTTTAATTTCGTTATTGGTGGAACACGAAGAAGAATCTATTTACTGGCGGTAGCTACTACAGTATTTTAAAAATCGTCACACTTACAACCGCAGTAATTTTTATCTTGTTTTGTTTCAGATTTTGAAAGCAAATGAGAAAGAGTTAAATTCTTGGGTGTCAATAAAAAAAATGAGTGTGTATAAAGGGATTACCCAAAAAGGGGGTTTTTGGTTTTCTTAAATTTAAACAAGTATGGTATGGACCCCAACGCTATGAAAAAGGGAATAAGAAAAAAGGAAGAAGAAGAAGATGCAGGGTTTAAGGGGTCATAATAATGCTTTTTATTTTATGCCGGGGTCATGTTGGGCTTTTTTAATTTTTTGTTCATTTGTTTTCCTTGCTTTTTTTTTTGGGGGTTTGGGTGACAATACCACTGTCAAAAAAACCAAACCCAAACGAAAAGGAAAAAAAGTTTTTTTTTAAATATTAAGACATTTGTGTGTGCAAACAAACTACCAGTGCCCCAAAATTTAATTTTACCCGGGGTTTAGATATACCCTTGCAAAATTTAAAAATTTGGGAATATTTGGTCAGTTTAAATTTGGGCCTTTTAATCACATTTGACATTTGTAAATTGGAAACACAGAAATATCGGTCAATGTAATTTTTGACCATCCCCCACATTTTTAAAATTTGGGAAAAAAAAATAACAGTCAAAGTAGGCTCACCCAGCCCCGACTTTTTAAAAATTGGAAACAGAAATAAATTTGGCCTGAATTCACACCCTGACTCAAAATTACAAATTTGTAAAAAGGGGAAAAATGGTAACGGTCATTAAAAATTCGCCTTGACTCACATTTGACATTTGTAAATTTTGGGAAAAAACAAATAACGGGCCCAAAGTAATTCGACCAGTCCCCACATTTTTAAAAAAACAAAAGAAAAATCGGTCAAAGTAAATTCCCCCCAGTCCCGACATTTTTTAAAATTGGGAAAAAAAAATATCCTCAAAGTAACCCCCAGACTGACCCTTTGAAAAATTGGAAACAGAAATATTTTGGGCCTTGTAGTTCCCCCGAAATCACATTTTTTCATTTGCAAAAAAAGAAACATAGAAATATCATTGTTGAGGGAAATTTGCGCTCATTTACAATATTGAGGATTTAAAAAAAAAATATATATATATATATTTATGCACACAAAGGTAACCTTTTGCTCGGGTTGTCCCCAAAAATGATACCGGGAGTGTTTTGGGAAGAAAAAGGCGTCGGGAGTGATTTGACCAATGCCTATTGATGCTTTTTGGCCCCTTCTTTGGGTCCTATCATTGCCTGGATTCCCATTGGTACGGAAGTCCCGATTATTAACCACGTGTACACAAATTAAAGATAGGTGTGTCCCATGTCCCCTGTGGAAAGGTGCCCCGACAGCAAGCTGTTCCTCTGCCCAATTTGAAAATTAAAGGAAACCCTTTTGGCCAGAAGAACAACAGGGGAACGAAACTCATGGCCACTGAATAAACAACATCGACGGAAAATTTATACAAGAGACAAAATTAGACAACTTATTTCAAGTGAACGATAGAAGAAGAAGAGAAGTCCTTTGCATACAAAACTATTCTGTGGTTTATGTAATTAGTGCTGGCTGACATATGTCATTGTGAATTAAAAACACAAAAACATCAGTGATTTATGTAAAACTTGCTGTTTCAGATATTACTTTTATAAACTGGTGATGCAAAAATATCAGCATTTGTGTAATTCATGCTTGCTCCTGTTCTTGTTTGCTACAACTTTTTCCCATGCGGGTTCTGGGAGTTTAATTTTTTTTTTTTTTTGCAACAAGATTAGACCCCTCCTTCAAAAGGCAGTATAAACAAACGGGATTTCCTTCGAAGTCTGCATACTTTTCCCCAGCTAAAGGAAAAACCAGTTGCAACACAAAAAAAAATCGTAAAACGGATGTCCCGCAAAAATCAGGCCCCGGGACAAGTTATGTCCAATGGCAACAACCGGCTTTCAATGTATGCTTTCGCCCGTGACAAGAAAACAAGTTAGAAAGGGAAAAAGGGTACAAGACTCCGTGATAATATCCTTAGGGCTGCGTGGGCCAACATGGGGTTTTTGCCCCAAGTGTTGGAGGGTTTCCGGTCGTCCCCCTAAAAGCTGGGGTGTTTTTTTTACGTGGACTTTAAATTCAGTTTCCCCCCGGGCTCTGGTAGTGGAAATTTAAAGCCCTGTGCATTGCGCGCCGGGAAAAAAACCTTTTCATTAAAATCGAAAAAATAGCCTAAAGGTGCCGCCCGGGCAAAATTTTTGGGTTAAAAAAATCCCAAGTATTTCAGTCCTCGCCGTTGCACTGTTTAAACATTTTCGGGCTCGACTTGGTTAGAAGAAGAAAAAAGGGGCACTTTTGGTTCACCCGTTGCCCCGATGTTTATCTTTGTTCAAACCCCAAACCCGTATATCCTAGGGGTTTCCGTTAAAAAAATTTTCATCAGGTAGGGGAAAAAATCCCCAACATTTAAAACACCCAATTTGCATAGAGATTCTCCATAAAATATTTTTTCATCTACGTTCACCCTTAAATGGGTGGTTTGCATGTTGATTTTGGGGTTCGCTGGGCTGCACTTTCGGCCCCCAATCATTTTCAGCAACTTTTAAATTTTTGTGTTTGTTAACATCTCATTAGCGGGTTTTGGGTCCATTCTGTCTCCCTCCCCTCCCCGAAATCCCTACGTGTTTGAAAATATAATTTTTTTTTAAACAAAACTTAGTCTAAACGCAGGGAAACCTGACTTCTTTGGGAAATATAGGTAAATTGCCTAAACCCCTATGAGAAAACCCTGGACGATAAAAAAAAGAAGAAGACGTCTTCAAAGAAACGACCACAAAAGAATTTTACTGCCCCCTCAAAAAAAAGGCAAACTCATTCTTTGATCTGGATGAGAAGGAAAACTGTCGTGCTTGTAGATGGGAAAAAGGAGAGAGGGAGGCAGAAAAATTGCTGTTAGTTTGATGTCATGAAAATTTTCTGTATCAATTGGGGAAAAAATTTTGGGTAGACTTTACTACCCCGCCACGTCAATGGCGTTTTTAAAAAAGAAAACTGTTAACAGGGTTGGGAATTTGTTCTAAAAGGGAATCTCCGGTT